CTCCACCTCCCCTCACTTCCTGCCCTTATCGCTCCTCAGCAATGGGGGAAGAGCTCACTGTATGGGGAGCTGCTCCCCCGTCTGCCCAACCCCCGTGCAGCTGGATCTCCCCATACAGAGAACCCCCCCCCCCCCGAGCACTCTGCACCAGAACCCCCACCCTGCCAAGCCTCACCTGCATCCGGAGACCCTCTGGACCCCGACCCACCACGAGCCTCACTCCCCGTGCATCTGGACCGTGGCTGAGCCCCTCTCCCCTGCATGCAAAACCCCCTGCACCCAGGCCTCCCTCCTCTATTAAGCCTCGCTCCCCCTGCATCTGGACCCCCACCCCTGCATCTGGATAACTCCCCACTGAGCCCCCAAAACTCGAACCCTCACTCTGGTGAGCCCCATCTGCCCTGCACCTGGACCACCCCGATGAGCCCTTCACACGTGGACTCCCACCCCTGTGAGCACCTGGACCCTCCCCAACCAAGCCCCACTCTTTCAGCACTGGCCCCCTTGCTGAGCCCCCAAATCCCCGGCTGAACCCCATCCCTCCACACTCAGACCCCGTCTCCCCCCCCCGCCGAGCCCCAACACCTTCCCCTAGGCCTCGCTGCAGGGTGTCATTCCCCTGCACCTGGAACCCCACAACGAGCCCTGGTTCATCCAGATTCCTCCTGCACCTGGACCCCACACCAAGCCACCTGCACCCAGAATGCCCCCCACAGAACTTTCTCACCCCACACCGGGATTCCCCCACATTAAGCCCTTCCACATTTGGATCCTGTTGGGCTGAGTCTGCCTGCTCTACACTTGGATCAGGGGCCAGGGCTTGGCATCCATGTGAGACTATCCCTCTCACTATCTTGGTGAGCATGGCATGGAGGCCCAGGGCCCTGGGGTGTTTCTGGGGCAGGCCTGGTCCTTGTACTGTGTCAGGGTCGGGTGCAGCCTCACTTCTGAGTCCGTGTTCCAAGGGGTGAGGTGGGGAGGGGAGGCTGCAGGTTGATCTCCCACCTCCATGCAGCCAGTGGCCTGTGCTCTCCACTGCCATGCTGGAGCTTCCACATTTATTTACTGACAAATAAAATATGCAGAATTTTAAAATGTTGTGTGCAGAATTTTTAATTCTTTGGCA